AAGGAAGAAACAAAAAAAAACAAAAAGAAACTCAATACTTAATTAAGAAGTAAAATAAAAAAGTATTATTTAAGATAAAATGCAAAGCAGATTAATCGTATTTTGATTTTGCCCATAACAATACATTTTCTAATGAACTTGTTTTCTTACAATATTTTACAAGTCCAGCATCACCAATAAATTTTTGATTTTTTAGCCATATAACTCTTGCCACATTAAGTATGGTTCGACACATTTGACCAATTACTTTTTTATCATTATCACCGTCTTTACTTTTATCATTACAATCATTTAAAGATACACCCCAAGCAGCCATCCGATGAATAAGAGTTAATTCAGCGATTCTTACACCTAACCCATTAAAGAAATCAATAGTACAATCGTCATGTCCATCTCCTTTAAAATGACAACACAACGCAATTCCTATTCCTCGTAATCTTTTTGTTTTTGTTAATGAAATTCCCATTCTTAATGCCATATCAGTAGCTGACCCACATAAATGTTTCCCAATAATAATAGTAGAATTTTCTTGTGTTTGAATTTTATCGTCAATTTCAGTTTCATTAATTAATTCATTAATGTCAATATCACTTAAATCTGCTGCAATTCTTGTTATTTGGTCTCCAGTTCTTTTACTAAATCTATCATATTTTTTTCTTAATCCTGTCATTCGATCTATAAGATATATTCTTGTATCATTAGAATGTGGAAGTATGGAATAATATGCTGATAACATTCCACTTCCTGCTCCACTTTCTACAATATTTTGTTTTTTATCTCCTGAATTTATTATTATTTCTTTATCTATTAAATGTTTTAGTATTGATATACATTGTTTACTATGTTTTTCTGATTGAAACTCCCATCCTTCTGGCATTTCAATGTTTTCTATTTCTTTCTCTTCAACACTTTCTTCTTCTCCTTCTTTTCCTTTCTCATTTCTTATTCCTTTAAAAATATCTATATATTTTTTCTCCATATATTCATAAATAATCTTAACTCTTTCTTTAAGTATTTCAATTTCTTCCTCTCCAAATTGACTAAGTTTCATTTTATTACATTCACATCGAATAAACACACTTCCTTTTCTATTATTATCAATTCCTTTCTCAATAAATTTATCTTCTAAAAATGGAAGTAATCGTTTTATCTCAACTTCTTTTGTAATGCTTTCTTTAATTATTGGTCGATTAATATTTTCTATTATATATTTTTTCCCATATGTTGCTTTTCTTGTTGGGTTATTTGGACATCCTTTAATATGTCTTAAATATCTTCTTTTTTTTATTATATGTTCCTTATTAAATGGACAAATGACTGTTTCACTGTTTTTCTTCTTGTAATATTCTTTTCTATCAAACTCTTCTTTCTTTTCTTCTATATCTTTTATTGTCTTTTCTTCTTGCTCTTCTTTATCTTCTACTATTTTGGTTTCTTGTTCCTTCTTTTCTTCTCTATCTTGTAATATCCCTATTTCGGCTTTTTTGTGTTGTTCTTCACTCATTAATTATTTTCTTTCTTTTTTACTTAGTTCTTTTTTTTTCTTTGTGACAAAAAGAATTAATTTCTTCAGTACAAACAACATTATCTAATGAATTTAACATTACTTATTTCTTTCTTTTTCTTATTTGTTTTCTACTCCATGTCTCTTCTTCTCATTTCATCTCATTTCAATCTTTCAATCTTTCAATCTCCTTTCTCTATTTAAACATTTTCTTTTGTTTTTTCTTATAAATATATTCTTATGACTGATGAGTATGACTTATCTCCTTTATCAGATGACAACTCTTCATTCACACATTCTCATTCACATCTTAACTTACTTCCTTCTGATCCACAATCTTCCCATTTATTCTCTTCAACCTCTTCCGTGAAGAAGAATGAAAGATTCACAAGTCCTTTAAAAACAACAGGAACTTCATCGAGTTTTCTTCAAAAAACACCTCTTCTTTCAAAACTTCTTTCAAATTCAACACATCATAATCAGTCATGTCTTAATTCTGCACAAGTTCTGTGTGACAACAAATCATCTTCACAACTTAACTTTTCATTAGACGATGTTATTCCAAGAAATGAAAGTGGATGTAGTGATCAAAGTAAAACAAGACAAGAAAAAGAACTTGAAGAGGTTGAAAGAAACATTCAAAGAAGACAAGAAACAGAAGGAAAGAATGACAACAACAAAGAAGAGGAGAATACAATAAATAAAATTACATCCATTAGTATTAAAGGAAATCAATTAGGAATAGCAACAATTGATATTGAAGAAGGGAAAATGGAAATATCAAATGTATTTATTAAAAGAAAAGAATATTCAAATATAGATAGATACATCTATCAAACAAATGGAAATATTATTATTACACATAATCATATTTCAGAAGAAATTATTAAAGAATTAAAAAGAAAAGAACAGAAAGTTATAATTCTATCAAGTCAAGATTTTAGTATTGAAACATGTCAAAAATATATTCAAATAATTCCAAATCAAATGAATAAAAGAAATAAAGACAAAGAAACAATGGTTATTTCACTTTCAACATATATTCCACTTGAAGAGAATAATGAAGTAACAAAAGCAATTGGTGGGTTATTCAAATATTATTATCAATATATTAACAAACAAGAAGAAAAAGACAAAGAAAAATATTCAATTAAAGAAATTAAAAGAATCGAATGGGATAAAATACTTTATATTGATGAACATACATTTAAATCATTAAATATTTTTAAAAAAGAAGAACATCCAGATATTCATAGTACAGGAGGAGGAAAAGAAGGAATAAGTTTATATGGATGTTTAAATAAATGTATGACTAAAGGAGGAAGTAAATTATTAAAAGAATGGATATTAAGAATAGAAATTGACAAATACATTATTGAAGAAAGACAAAGTTTTCAAAAAGAAATTGGAAAAGAAGAATATAAAGGAATTATTGATATTCTAAGAAAATATCTTAGAAAAACAAATGAATTTTTAAATTTAAGTAATAAAATTCAAATATTTCAAATGAATGATAATGATTGGATTAAATTTTATAAAGTTATTTATTCAATTTATCAAATAATTAAATTACTTAATGAATATTCTTTTAAACATAGAATTATTATTCAAATTGAAAGTAGATTTCAATTAATTAGTACAATTAAAAATTATTTAGAACAAATTTTTGATATTAATCATTTATTACAAAATGAATTATTTATTAATTCAGGTTTTAATGATAATTATGATAATTTAATTCTTCAATTAAAACAAATTAATACTATTCTTATTGATTATCATTCAATTTATCATTTAAAATATTGTTTCTTTAATAATTTGGGTTTTTTAATTGAAATACCTTCATCTTCTACTTCTTTAAATTCAAATTGGAATTTAATCTTTAAAACTATTGATTTTTATTATTATAAAGATATTCATTGTATTGAACTTGATCATTCTATTGGTGATATTAATCAAAAGATTCTTGATTTAAAAACTCTTCTTTTAGATAATTTATCTTCTTCTCTTACTCCTTATTTATTTCATTCTTCTATTATTTATAATGATTTGTCCGAATTGGATGTTTTACTTGATTTTGTTGTTTGTAATATGTTATTTAATTGGAATTTACCTTCAATTGTTAATCCTTCTGATCCTTTAATTTTATCTGATGCTAGAAACCCAATTCTTGAATTATTCACTTCTTCAGCAATTCCTAATTCAACTAAAATTCTTTCTATTCCTATTCAAATCATTACTGGTCCTAATTCAAGTGGTAAAACAGTTTATTTAAGACAAGTTGGAATTAATGTTATCATGGCTTTACTTGGTTGTGGTGTTTGTGCTTCTAGTGCTCAAATCCCTCTGTTTAGTCACATCTTTACTAAATTCTCTTCCTCTGACTCTTCTCTTTCTTCTTTATCAGCTTTTACTATCGACTGCTCTCTTCTTAGTACTTCTCTCCGTCATCTTTCAAATGACTCTTTATTACTTATTGATGAATTTGGTAAAGGAACACATCCTTCTGATGGTTTGGCTTTATTTATTGCTACAATTCTTTATCTTCAATCTTTAGGTTCTAATGCTCCAAAAACAATCATTTCTACTCATTTCATTTCCATTTTTCATTACATCGACTTGAATAAATGCGTTCCTCTTAAAATGGATGTTCTTCTTAATCATTCTAATAA